GGTCTTTAAATGAACAGAAGTGTTTAATACGTGTTCTTAAATAGGAAAGTTTACAAAATCTACTTAAGTATGCAATAAACTAAATTGTAGATCAAACACTTAGTCTGTGTGCTTATTGTGTTAATAAACAGGATTTTTGAGTCGCCGTACAATGCTATGAGGTGTCGCTGATTTTAAGATTTGTGTGAAACTTGGCTGTCGTTCCCTTTCTTTTTGATGATCCCTTACACTTCTGTGATAAACTTCATATATTAATAACGTTCTACTGAATTGTTATCAGTTATTCCATTCTAATAAAACCTGTACATAAAGTTATTAATAGTAGGGCTGCAGGGCGCTTCTCGTATAGACATTATGTAATACTCTATTGCTAACAAACATCTTCATAAACGCGTCTGATTGTGAGGGTATATAGAAATATTTCGTAATAGCCAAAGCTTAAAATATAAATTATCTGCAGCGCAAAAATTGTTTTGGTAGTGCGATGGATCGTAGAAGTAAAATACAATCCTGTTTATTTGCACACGACGTCACAAGTTATTAAACATGCGCTCTCAACAGTCACTTCTGTTCTTGATAGTATTTGGTAATACGTCAGGGGAAAAGAAAAAAAGAATCATTAAACACAATATAAAGCTGTGATATTAATGTAAACATTCGAAAGGTCCGTTTAGGCGAATGTATTTTTTGATGTACTTACCGTCAGGCAGTTGCGATAATGTAGGGGGAGTATTGTAACAAATATTATGCAACGCGCCAATAAGGGTTAAAGTCGTTCAGGGATTAATGGGTAAGATTGTAATCAAAACAGTATACCGAACAGGCGGGAAGGGGAATGTGTAATACAATTAGTTCATGTCGCATGAAAGTGACACAAAGCATCAAAATGCATGGCCTCACTGTCGTGCGGCATGTTAGGTAGTGTAAAGTCGCATTTTGTTTCTGTCACTTCGCGAAACAGTGACAGCATGCACTTTGACGCCTCCTACCACAACTACACGCCAGGACGACGGGTGACGTAAACTAGTTGTCTGACATCCTAGCCTTCCCCTATCTGGTGCATTGTTATGCCTAAAATCTGCTCCATTGAGGTCTGGACAAATTCCCCTTTAATGACTACGGAGTATTTGATAGAAAGGTTTGTTCAATCTATCCTTCCTTAAATTAGTTGAATAAACTGATGATGAGGAATGCAAAACGTACTTTCGCCTAGCTCAATTACCCTTACATAAAGCTATTATGCACACCTTATAATGCACGCATATGACTGCAGACCTATGCTTTCCGCTACATTACCCAAATTATCATTTAAGCGACATTACTTCAATTAATCACGTAAAGCTTACTAATTATGTTTTCTTGCATGCATGAAATGTGTTTGGTTTCTCTTAAATAAAGGATACGCAGACGTCTGCCCCTGATGTCACAGTATGGGTGGTTCGCCGAACAGTCGTGTTGCTAATTATAGCTCTTCTTTAATATGGTCCCCGCCTCATATATCCTCATATCCTGATATCATGTTTTGAAAAACAAAGTAATAGTAAGAAGTTAGGCTAATGCTGCTACCGAAGTTGCGCGCGCTTCAAATTGCGGTTCAAATTTCTCGTCCTCCGTGGGAAATA